CCGATGGGAACATTCTTCTCTGATTTATCCTGATGAAGTGTATTTCAGACTTGGACTCAAAAGGTCCATCAATACCTACTTAATGATAGGTTGAAGAAGCACTCTTTGTAAAAAAGCACATACTTGTTTCAATTCCAAAGACTAGCTCTCTGCAACAATACAAACTGAACTCAAAACTAGCAACCCAATATATATTTTTATTTGTCCACTTGGCTGAAACGATGGTTGAGACAACTACGAATATGGTTCAAGAGGCTGAAAGACTGAAGATGATCAAGTTTAAATTCGAACATACTATAAGATTTATAAATATGCACTTTGCAAAGTCACTGAAGCTGAAATCTCTTGGACAACATAATGGGAATTCAATGGCTGTTGAATTGGCACTTTATATCCACACGAATAAACTATGTTCCCCTGGAACTTATTAAAAATCAGTCACTACATAACAAACTGAGCAATGTTTAAAACACAAACAAACAAAACAACCACAAAACAAAAAAAACCCCAAAGGAACAAAACAGCCTCTTCAGGCGGAGAGCTTACAGTTTTACAAGAAGGTTGTTTAATTCTCCCTAGCAAAAATTTTTTAACATGACTATGATAAATTTAACTCAGTATAAATTCATCCTATGGTGCCAAAAAAATGGTAGTCATGCCCTTCATTAAATACTTGTTTCTGATGTCTTCCTTGCACCATCATTTGTGTTCAAGCAGCTGTGCATTTATTGCATTAATTGGATCAAGAAGCTGATCCTGCTGCAAACTTTTCTTCTTGACAGGTTAGCTTTTGCTAGCAGTGTGGGTTTATGACGCATTAAATTGAAAGTGGAACTATGGCATTAGTGTTATACCTTCACGCAAAATGTTGCACTGTTTAAACTATTTTTAACAAAATGTTTAAAAAAAGCAGGTCTTTGGATGAATCCTCTTACATTTGTTTCTCTCGTAGGATTTGCATTGATCTGGCTTAAATCTATTAAGACTGATTCAGTCTAAAATCATAAAAGCAAACAGAAAAATAACAGGTTTTTGAAAAAACATTGAAAATGTTTTCTCATTGAAAATTACTACATTGAAAATCCCTAGTTTAACCAGTGCAACTGTACATTCACTACATATTATTCAACAGAAGCCTGAAAACCAAAGCTATTCACTACAAAACTCGAAATCCTAATTCTGAAAGAAGATGCAGAGACTCTACCAGAAAAAGACGAGGTTACCACAAATCACCGGCCGATCAAGATCCACAGAGGACTACCTGGAACTAAAAATCATACATACTCCTTCCTCTCTTATCTTCTACACGAAGCTAGCAGCAGAAAAAAGTGAAGGAAAACAAAAGTAATCTCATAATCTGTTAAAGCTGGTTTTATCTATCCAGAAATACAAAGTAGGTACACATCTTACAGTTGTATCATTTATTAATCTGGGTATATGATGCTTACAGTTTTTAGAAGTGTAGAGATTTATAACGTATTGCAAAAAGGTTCATCGCAGAATTGTAAGAAGACAGTAAGGCATTAATTTGGCAAGTTTGAGGATAAATTTAGGAATTTATCACAGTAGAAAAATATAAAATCATTAAAAAGTCTACTCATTAGCTTGGTTTCAGCTTTTAGGTACATAACTTTGCTGCTTCTTGGCCAGAAATTCAAACTAAAGAAAAGCTCTCCCTAACGACTAGAATGAGCTATTCTTTCCATGTTTGTTTGGCCATCTCTCTAAAACAGCAGAAGAGGCATTCTTAATTTAAATTTAGTTCAGGTTCAAAACCTGACCACACCTTAGAAGCTCTGAAACTTAAATATCAAAAGGTATTTGGCTAGAGCAGAAGTGAGATTGCAAAGTTTCTTAAATTTTAGAACTGAATCATCACCTTTTGAACTGCTAACTGTGTTGGTACCACGGAGACCCTAATTACAGAACAGAGCCCAAACCTGGCAAGGATGGTGGAAGACAGAAAAGAGGCACCATGAAATGTTCCAGTTCCCCTTCATGCAAAGTTTTGAAACACAAATAGAAGCAGCAGTTAGGACTTTAAAATCATCAAAGAAAGAAAACAAAACAATTGAATTCAGATGCTGACAATTAAACTACAACTGTAACATGAAGGTAGAAAATGCTGTACTTATATATAGAAGTATAATTTAATTTTTCCATAAACACGGAAAACCATGCAATAATACTGCTTTAGCTAATACAAAGGTAGAATTCAATCCTCCGCTGCCTTTTTTTTTCATTTAAGAAAATTTACTGATACTAATAACCACACCCAGAGAAAGCATGATATAAAAAAAGAGAAGAAAATCACACTAATTAGTATTCCGATAAAAAATTATATCCGTAATTCAGCAATATCCAAACCTGACAGAGGAATTTAGCTACAGTTATTTAACAGCTTTGCTAAGATATACAAGGGAGGGTCAATGCCATGAAGTAACAGGACGTGTCACTGATTCTGTGCTAGAAAAAGAGGAACGCATGGACTGAATGCAACATGGAGACAGACAGTCGGGTAAAACACAAGGAGATGCTTGACAGGAGCCACACCATCATTTAACAGAAGCTCCTGTTAGAAGCTCTGACCAGCTCGATTTGATGCAATTGATCCACCCAATGGATTGGCCGTTCAGTTTTCTCTGGAAAGCTCGCATTCAGTATGATCCACAGTGGAGAAACACAGGCTCCAGTTACAGTGTTGAAAGTGATTCTAAATCTCAAATGTTCACATCTGTGCGATGACCATCAGCTTTAGCAAAAGTGAGTGGAAATTTGGGAAATATTGTGAGGCATATGACACAAAGAATGGCTAAGATTTCAGAGTAGTAAATTAGCCATCAGTTAAATAGATCAATGTTTCTCAAAGAAAACCTAGAGTTAAATAATCTGAATGAGTTGAAAATATGTTGCTGTCTTCCTGCATGCAAAATAAAATGTGAATTCCTTAAATACTTCAAAATAGAGTTGCCTGAATATTTTGCATTCTAGACTTATCTTCTAGTAGCAGATTCCATTTGATCATTGTGTTCACTTAAACTTTACAAATTATGTTTTCACTCATTATTTTATCCTCATTTTTCTCAAGTACTTAAATGTGAAGGACGGCTAACTTTCTAATAGTTTGGGGTTTTTTTAAGCCATAATACACAACAAATTTACTGTCAGAAGAGACATCAAGGGGTCAAATGGAGCCTGAGGTTTTGCCCATGCTGAGATTTCAGCTAATAAAGCTATGCTAGTGCAACCTCCTAGTAAGGAACACCTTACTTGACAGTGTAATTTACGCAGCTGAATCCCACACTGAGGCAAAAACCAGAACATGCACCTGAGAGAACAGTATCACAAACTCACTATACAGATACACATTTTTCCATGATGTGGCAACTGTAGCACAATTTTGCTATTTTTCAAATCCATTTGTACATTGGCCAACAGAACAGGGCTCTGATGATGTTACTAGCTTCACAATTCATATGACAAACACTACAAATGCATATACCATTTTTATATCAATGTTTTATTCCACTGGGTCCATTTCTGGGATCAGAGTTACAGACTACACAGGTCTTTCAATGGGTGATTCAAGAATGCTGACATTAAAGATATATTATAAACTAAAAATTTTATCTTGCTATTCCTAATATATAAAATGCAAAATCTAATAAGTGAAAAGAAACATTACTGAATTTTTACAAACACAGATAATTTTATGGCATTGCTCTGATAATAATGTTCCCTTTGATATATCTTTGTTTACCATATTAAGACTGTCATGCACTTTGGATTTTAAAAATTATTCTCACCTTTCAAAGTGACCTAAAACACACACAAAACTTCCTACTATTATTTTCAGGAAAAAGAAAAATCACTAGAGGACAGAGGATCATAGATTATCTCCCCACCCCCTGTTTACTTTGTTTTATCTAAATTTGAGAAATGAACTTGTCAAGGACATCTTATTCTCCAGATTTCTATGCTATTATCAGTATTGAACACAGATTAAATTCTCCATATCAAGATATATGCATCAGGGTCACACTACCACTGTAAAAAATACCATTTTCCTTTGCTGTGTCACATACTTACTAATTACCCTTCATCATTCCTTATATTTAAAAAGAAACCACAAGTGCAAGGACATTCACTGCAGTCCTGCTTTTTGAAGCAGAACTACCCATGTAACCCACAACTCCTTCAGAAAAGCACTGAAAAGGAGATCACTGCTTACATGAAGCCAGCCCAGGAAGGGAACTAGGATTACAGCCTTGCAGTAGCTAGGAAATTATTTCTGCAAAGGGTATTCAAACTGATTACCAATTCCTCAATAATAACTATGTCACAACAGGATAAATGATCTCATTCTGAAGCAAGCAGTTTTACATACTCTGGAACAGTTAGCTATCCTTCCATATTTTGATGGGTATAATGCTACATAATTAACTGAGCTCCACAAACAAAAGGAAAAAAATCCTTTTAGGAATGGGAATCAAACATAATATGTTTCTATTGTAAATATAATAAAATATATAACCAACCAGTATTTTGGATCACAGACAGAGCAATGCTTCCCATGATCTCTTCCACATAGAAATTTCTCTTTTGAGATGCATGCAGTTCACAAGGAAAAAACATTAAAAATCATGAATAAAAATGTGGTGGTCTTTTTCACATCAGACCTGATGATAGTTTTAATTAATTCAAAAGTATTTATTAATCTTAATAAATTCCTTAGGACTAACATAACAGATGTTTCCCTGCTATCAACTCTTTATTTGTCAAAAAGGGCAACTAGCAATAAAAAGTGCAACTCTATTAGTGTAACACTTAAATGAATATTTTCATGGAAATAATAAAACTAATAACAAAATGACAGAATACTTAAAGTTTGCTTTCTTTAACAAGGAGTTAAAAGCTCAAGGTCTGCAAATGTATATTTGCCTAAGCATACTATATCCAAGTAGGTTTCCTGTTTAAAATATTTTAATTTCTACACCTACCTTTTGACTTCCTGCAGATTCTGCACCGATATGCTCTTTCAGTTTTTGTTCCTGTTCCATTATGTCTTTCAAATGTTCATTTACCTAGAGGCAAAATAGTTTATTCAGTGGTCTGTTCTAAGAAACAAGGAATAGAAGTTGTAAGTTTTTAAAAGGTCTATAAATCACTACCACCGAGTTAACTGAAAAGATTAAACAAACATTTCAGACTATAGCCCTGAAGCATAATCAGCAAATGTCAGTTTCAGATGCAGTCTGGGGTCACTAGGTGTTAGTTTTACATTGTACAAACTGCCTCTTATTATGCTTGATCACATTTGGTCAACAGCGTATCCTTGTTACTTGATTTGATTATGCAGTGAAGGTAGATCACTTCAAGCGAGATGTGTTCAAATACAAACAGAATACTGGGGGTTTAAATCATGATAAATTACACAGTAAGATGGTAACTCTTTTTGGCTCTTTAAGAGACCCTTGAGCAGCTGTCATGGTATCAACATGACAGCAATAGACTGATATGTCAAATGTAATGTATATTATAGTATTTTATTCAGAATTCCCATTTATTTAGTTCACATAACAAGTTTAACTTATTTCTGCACACTTTGCTTTTTATTATCCATACACAGCAGCTGAAGGAACAGTCCATATCAGACACAGCCTCGATACACCTATATACATACATACATAGCCTACCCACTCATGTCTAATCGAATCCTATGGACTACAAAGACAATCACAGCTTGCTTTTCCAGTACTCATACCTTGTTTATCCAGTACATGACAGCATCCTCAATGTCATAGGGTAGATCTGTAGCTTGGAAGAAGGATGAATACTGCTGAGTGCATGCCATCACTTTCTCAACGCTGACCATCTCTACAGTATATGCCATCATCAGAGTATCGATCATGGCCAAGTGAGCACTCTGCAGAGAGAAGCAGCAATACCTAATTAGTTTGCAAATAAAAAGCTCACTTTCTTACGTATCATTTCTGAACAGAGCCACAAAACTGTAAATGCTACAAGTTTTCTGGCTGATAGTTTTTGAATGAAAGACAAAACCACACATAACAGATCTCAGAACACAATACAAAGCACAGAGATACTGATTTTAAAAAAAGCTTATTGTAAATTAAGATAACTTCTGTAACAAAATTGACACCAAAAATAAAGAACTGGAAATGGAAAGAATATGCTATTTTAATGATTCAAACATAACATGACTTTTAACAGAGCTAAAGAGATCTAGTGAAAACAAAAGCGCTGCCCAAGGAATGTTATTTGTACTGAAAACAATAGCTGAGACTACCTGGTGAACAACTTTTATCATCATGAAAATGCTGCAGTGGAAGAGGAAGTTTATCCATTTTTAGAGTCATAAACCATGAAGAAGACACAATTATACTAATCTTAAGTAAATGACAGAAAATATTTTTCTTCTAGTAGACCATAATCTCGTGCAGATGCAGCTATATATGCACAACTAGATATAAGCATCTACTGATAAATACAGCTTCTGTTAAAAGAGATGGCACGTTTCTCCTGGTGCTGTTATGCATTGAAAGACAATGGTTATTTTACAGTTTGTAATAATTAAAAACAAACAAAAAACCCCCAAAACAACAAAAGGAGGATGACAGGATTTACACTAGATTCTTGTGACTGGATAAGAAAATGGCAGTTTGTAGAGGCAGTGCCTAAACAGATTGTTTCTGCTTCATGATAAGAACAGCAACAGCTTTCTAAGTACTGAGCAAGATTTCCCATGAACCAGAAGAGTCTCCAATGACAGTGTTTTTTAAAACATTGTCTTTAAATACAGCTCACAATGCAAACAAAGACCCCAAACCACAGTCACTTCAATTCTATTAAAAAAATTCCTCTAAACATCTCACACGGTACCTCTGAGAGCCATGGCAATGGCAGTGAACACCACGAGTCACCCAGCAATACACTATCTAATCATTCTAGTTAAGGTAGCACATGCACAGAATTTATTCCAGAATTCCCAGCAGGAAAAAAAATGAACAGATCCAGACTTTGTGCTGCTTTTAGTGTTTGTATCACCGACGAAAGCGATGATGCTGGCCTCAGAAGCATGTAGCAGCACATAGCCATTTTTTAAAATACAGTTAAGTTGCTTTGTTTGACAAAAAAAAGGCAAATTATACTCACTTCATCTACTCACTAAAAGACACTGAGAAAGCTCTTCCTGACAGCCACTCTTCCTGGGATGAGCTTATTCTCTTCGGACCCTGTGACACGACCCGAGAGCCCCGTGTGCCACACGCTCCATCCAAGCTCCCAGCACAAGCAGTGCAGTCGGGCCGGGAACCAGCACAAGCAGTGCAGTTGGGCCGGGAACCAGCACAAGCAGTGCAGTCGGGCCGGGAACCAGCACAAGCAGTGCAGTCGGGCCGGGAACCAGCGCCTCCTCACTCCAGCCACCATCGATTGACTTATTCAGAATAAACTCTTTCCACTATATTCATCTGCCTTATGAATTTATTTACAGACTTTTAGTGTACAACTACTGATAGAAGCTCTAGGGTGCAATGGAAGGAAAGAGCTGGGGAGCTGAGTTCTTGCCACCCAAAGCACTTAAGAAAAAGACAGAGTGTTGCCCATGATCAGCCTCATGAGGAAGCCGCGCTCCGATGGGAAATATGGCAATTCTATACACAGATACAAAAGAGTCACTTCTTTGTTGGTCCAGAAATGCAGCGCAGAGATGGAGTTCACATAAAGTACCACATTAACTACTAGTAAAGCCCCAAAACCTTGTGAGGGATAGCAGAGACTCAGCCAGCCAAACAGAGCCATGCAGTTCTGCAGGAGTTTCCAGCTCAGACTGCTGAAGGGTAGGTGAGCAAGGGCAAAACAGGAAGAAAGAAAGGAAGACTTGGATCCTCTCTGTCATCCAGGGGTCACGGCTCTCATGGTCTTTCCTTGCTATAACTGTGTTGCCTAGCCTGAATGACACCTGGGTTAAAACCTTGTGCCATTTGAGAACCTCTCCAGGAAATAAAATGGGAGATATTAAAATAGCAAGAAGATGCTGGATTTGCTTTTTAAAAGGAGGTAGTGCACAAAATGTGTTTCCCAGACAGACATAAGAGCAGCCTCGTATAGAGTTGCTACTGCTAGGCGTGCTAAGAGTCGTCTGTGCTGACCCAGAACTGCCCACACTGCCTGCTGCACAAGAGGAGGGTTTTCATCCACTGCCTGGGGAGTGGATGCAGCCTTCCCGTGGAGGTCTGACAACCAAGGAAGCTCCAAGCTGCTTTGGAAGCAGAATCTTCTGACCCAGCTGGTGATCCAGGACAAGTTCACTGGCTACGTGCCTGTGCTTTGAGACAGGCCTGCAAGAAAAGCAAGCACTGGCAGCCCTCCCAGAGGGAATTAGCAGCCTTCACCTCCCATCCTGGATCATCAGTTTCTCTGTAAAATTCGATCACACCTATGAAGGGGATTGCCAGTGGAGAGAGAAAGCCAGTGAGGTGTTGCTAAAACAGCCAATACACTCAAAACGCCATAAATACATTAAGAAAAATAAACTATTTACAACTAGCTGAGGCACATTTTCAATGTTGCTAGCAAATTATTAATGAACTGCAAACTGCTTAAGCAAAGAGAGGGAACAACGAAAGGGAAGTCCTTAGACAATACTATCAAAACCAAGTGGAATAAACTTTCACCCACACTGACTGGATCCATGTCACAACTCTATTTTATGTAAGCTATCAAATACGAGCACCTGCAGTCTCTAAAGTGACTCCAAATTATTTATACTTTAGAATCCAGGCAGGATGCTCAAAAGGAGATTTTTTTAAAAATAGTAAATAAAAATAAGAATTTGAGCCAACTTGCGTCTATTATCCTGAGAACCAAACAACAAAATTGCTATTTTTCCCAGTTAACAAAATCAAACTTTATTTTATAAATAATTTCTTTATTAATAAAAA